GATGTATTTTCACCCAAGAACTTTCTGATTTCAACAAGAGAACCATTCTCCTGAACAACAGCATTGATGGGGAAGTGAGTACACAGGCCTCATTCTGTACAGGAAGCTCCGTGTAACACCCTGATCATGTTCTGTACGTGACTGCAGGTCGTGTGCACGGTAGCCAGTTCCCTTCTATTTCCCCGCCATTTGTCAACATGGAGCCACTTCTTTTTCTTTCCAGGAGACTGAGCTCTGTACCGATGCGATTGAAGTCCCTCCGCAGGGTGCCTGTGAGGCCCTCCGCAATCACTGTGTGTCCCTGCAGGGCGACGTCCACATTGTCTGGGATGTCAACAGTCTGACCGCTGAGAATGGTCTTCATCCTCGCAGTAGATGTGACAAAAAATACAAAAACAAAAAAGAATTGAATTGCACACTTTATTTTTATTTTTTTAAAATATATTTTATTGATTTTTTTACAGAGTGGAAGGAAGAGGGATAGAGAATTAGAAACTGATCAAAGAGAGAGAAACCTCAATCAGCTGCCTCCTGCACACTCCCTACTGGGGATGTGCCCACAACCAAGGTATATGCCCTTGACCGGAATCGAACCTGGGACCCCTCAGTCCGCAGGCCGATGCTCTATCCACTGAGCCAAACCAGTTAGGGCTGAATTGCACACTTTAAATGGGTGCAAAGTATATCTCACAAATTATATCTCAATACGTACAGCTGTTTTTAAAATCACCCCACCCACCCCATCCCAGTCTTCCCCAGGAGGTGACTGTAGTTAACCGTCTACTGTGGCTGTTTCCAAATCTTTCTCAGGCATTTCAAATGCATGAGGGTGTAATCACTTGACTAAGGGATTGCTGAAGTAACCTCTTGCATTGAAGCTGATACAACATGCATTTTGCAAGGCAGATTCATGGCTTGAATCTCCCAGGGTGAAGGGTACATGCATTTGAAATGCCTCAGACATTACCAACCAACTCATTGCCCTACACAAGGCTGCATAGCATTCATAGCATTAACTTAATTTTTTTTCCAAAATTCCCAAAAAGGAAAATGGTGTATTATACTATGTTGCATTTCTTTTTTTATATATATTTTTATTGATTTCAGAGAGGAAGGAAGAGAGAGATAGAAACATCAATATATAGAGAGAATCATTGATCAGTTGCCTCCTGTATGCCCCACAATGGGGATCGAGCCCGCAACATGGGCTTGTGCCCTGACCGGAAATTGAACTGTGACCTCCTGGTTCATAGGTCAATGCTCAACCACTGAACCACACTGGCCAAGTGCTGTTGCATTTCTTTAATTATTATTGTGGTGGAGAACTGTATCACTTGATTATTTGCCAGTATCCCTGACATGCCTTCCGTTTTTCCTTATGGATTCTTTATTCTTCTTTGATGGTTTGGACGCGTTATCTTCATGTTACAGATTCTGCAAGCCTTTTTCCCAGCCTATTTTGACATTATGTATAATCAAAAGTTTTCTGAGTTCTCACACCGTTCCCAGAAGAGTTCCTGGAATGGAAATAAGGGCACAGAAGAAAGAGGTGAGGCTGGGAAGGCTGGACCGATGGGAAAGGGAGAGCCCACTGTCTGGAGAGATGGCAGCTGTGGTGATGGAGGTATCTCCACAAGGGCACCAGGAATCTGCCCATGCCTAGACATAAGGACCGGGCCTCCAGCTCCAGCCTCCTTCCTCCAGCTTCCCTGGACCATGCTGCTACCCCATCAAACAGTCCCATGGCCCCCAAACCTGGAGGAGCAGGTCTGGTGTCCAGGGGCTCCGGGAGGCTGTCTCTGAGCTGGGAGAAGGCCCAGAATTGGAGGAATCCACCATTCCCCAACTACCCCTCTGGGCCCACTTCCTGCTAGCAACTTTCACAATAGCATTCACTGTTTATTTCTAGGCTCAGTGGTTAATCTCTTTTCATCATAGCGCGCATTGGAATCCATGAGAGATGAAAGATCACCAGGATGCCAGCACACAGGGGCTCGGATACATTGCTTCCCAGGCTGCCCTCACAGGACTCAGGTGCAGGAATGTCCAGGGCTGTACTGAGCAAGCAGAGGTCTGACTTCCACGCCACCCTCACCAGCAGCATCTCAGTGTCTACATGTGTTGACTTCCTTGGGCTGTTACAGAAATCAGAGCTCCTTGTCACTCCCTGTTCAGTCCAGGCGGGTGCTGGCAGCCAGAGGGACTCTACGGTGGGCTGGCCATGCTTTGGGCCTCAGGTTCCCCACCAGTAACGGGGCTGGGAGCAAATGGTCTGTACATGTGGTCTTTTTTTTAACTTTTATTAAATTTATTTGGGTGACATTGGTCGACATGATCATATAAACTTCAGGTGTAGGTTTCTATGTTACAAGATCTATATATTGCACTGTGTGCCCACCACCCAAAGTCAAATCTTCTCCTGTCACCTTATATTACGACCTCTTCCCCCCCCCCCACCCCCTGTTGGTGCAATTTTAGCTTGAGGCCCTCACACTGTCCCCTGGACACCATGTACCCAGGCCCAACCTCCTCTCACTACAAGGTACGTCCTCAAACTCTTCCCTGCGAACACCCCACAACTCTAAATCCTCATTTTAAATGTAAGTAACTCTTTTGTAACCTACTTTTTTGAAGGTAAATTGATTCTTGGAATCCTAAACTCCTGACCTTCCCTCCCAGCTTAGGTCCCCTAGGCAGGGCCAGGCCTTATCAGTCCTGCCACGCAGTTCCGGGCCTGATAGAGCTACCACCGTCTGTCAGAGGGCCGGGCGGGGCTCAAAGACCCTATCTTGGACCGACTTCCACACCCCCACCTTCTCTGGTGCAGTGTTCCTGCCCAGGAGGAATCGCTCACCAACAATAGCAGCTACAATAATCTTGAATTCACGGTGCCATTATCCCTCCTAACAGTGAGGTGGAGGCTGTTCTAAACCCCCACCTGAGAGGTTAACAGTGAAACCGGGACTCACAATGTTAACTAGCCTGCCCAGAGCCACCCAGGGGTCGCTTTCAGGGGAAGGTCTCCACTGAGGGCCCCTCTGAGCTCAGCTCCAGCCACAAAAGTTCAGAACAAGCCTGGGGCTTTGAATTCTGTGCAGAGACTAATAGGTCTCAGTGTCCAGGAGCACAGACTTGGGCTCCTTGTGTCTCAGGAAACCAAGGCCCAGAGACAGAATAGACTTGCCCAACCCCCAAAGGGCCAGCAGCCTGGCCCACAGCAAACCTAGGTCTCCTCTCCCATCAGGAGTGGTTCCCTCCACCGAAACTTGAACATGTTTCATAACTTTCCCAAGCCTCCATTTCCTTATCTTAAAACATGTCATGGTAATAACATAAAACTTCTCTCACAGAAAGCGTTAAGGGTCAAATACCCAACATGAAGAGTATTTGGTACCATGCCCAGCACTTAGAAGGCGCTTGATAAGTGTCAGCTAAAACCAGGCAGCAGACCTTGGTTCACAATCACACAAAATCAGTCCAAGGTGGACTGTCATCCAATCAAATGCCAAGCAGTAAAGTTCTTAGAATGGTAATATAGACAGTTCTCTACACCTCAGCATTTGGCACAGGTTTTTTTTTTTTTTTTTTTTAAGTGAGGTAAAACCTGCCTGCTCAGCATGGCTCAGTGGTTGAGCGGCGACCTATGAACCAGGAGGTCACGGTTCAATTCCCTGTCAGGGCACAAGCCCAGATTGTGGCTTGATCCCCAGTAGGGGATGTTCAGGAGGCAGCCAAACAATGACTCTCTCTCATCATTGATGTTTCTATTTTTCTCTCTCTCCTTATCCCTTCCTCTCTGGAATCAATAAAAAAAATTTTTAAAAAGAATCAACTAGTGAATGCATAAATAAGTGGGACAGCAAATTGATGTTTCTCTCCCTTCCTCTCCTTCTACCTAAAATCAATTTTAAAAATTATAAACTTCCATTCAACAAAACCAGCATTAAGACAGTGGAGGCAAACTACAGACTTGGGGGCGATATGACACATCAAACTGACAAAGAACTTAAATGCAGAGTGAGATTGCAAAGGGGTGGCAGGTGGGAGTTGTTTTGAGTGATGGAGCTAGTGATTTTGGTGGGAGTTACACAACTCTACACACATGTCAAAATTCACAGAGCAGTACACTAAAAAAGTCAATTTCATTGTATATTAACATTAAAAGGAATAGTTGCCTCATTGTTAAAATGATAATATGGTGAGCAATATTGCAATCCTGCCCAGCCAGTGTGGCTCAATGGTTGAGCATTGACCTATGAACAAGGAGGTCATGATTTGATTCCTGGTCAGGGCACATGCCCAGGTTGTAGGCTCAATCCCCAGTGTGTGGCATGCAGGAAGCAGCCAATCAATGATTTTCTCTCATCATTGATGTTTCTATCTCTTTATCCATCTCCCGTCCTCTCTGAAGTCAATAAAAATAGTGCAATCCCTAATAGCAGATGATATGAGGATAATTCTCTTTTATTGACCTAGCTTTTCAGGAGAAGGACCCAGTCAGTACATCTTTCCTCAGCCGGGAGGGTAAAACCATCGCTTTCTCAGAGGAAACGCAAGAATCACAGACCCAAGGGGGAGGGAGCTGGCATGTGGCCTGGGTGATCTAGACACAGGATCCTACCCAGGAGCCGTGCAGGCAGCACGGGGCATGTGCCAGCCCCAGGAAGGTGTGTTCTGGGCCCTGCTCCTCTGGTTTCCCTCATTTTTTAAGTCTGAAATGGACAAGGACAATGCAGGGCTGGGCTGCAAATGCAGGCATGACCTCCTGGGCTGGCTGGGCCCCTATCTCTGCTGGACCCTGGTCAGGCTGTGGCCAACGCCCCCGCTAAAACCCAGGAAGGATGGCAGGGGTGATAACCCCTCACGCCCCCTGTCCCACCAGGCTCCGACTGCCCATTGTCACTGGATCTGATAAGAGACCCCACCCCAAGCCTCCACAGCCTGGCCCCCACATGGACTCCGTGTATATAAGTGGACCCTGGGGGCTGAGCACCACAAAGGCCAGTCCTGATCATACCCAGCTCCGGTTCCAGCTCTGATACCACCATGTCTCTGACCAGGGCCGAGAGGACCATCATCGTGTCCATGTGGGGCAAGATCGCTGCACAGGCAGATACCATCGGTATGGAGACCCTGGAGAGGTGAGTGCCAGACAGGCCAGGGATGGGGCCAGGTAGGGGACAATGTGAGGCCAGTGAGGACAGGGAACAGTGGGGAGGAGAAAGAGAGGAAGGATCAGTGTGTTTGATTAGAGGCAAGTGGATGGGGAGGGAGCTGAGGACTGTGTTTCTCAATGGGACCCAGCACACAGGTCTCCACAAACATCTGTTGAATGAATGAATGAATGAACGAAAGAATGACTGAGAGATGGGGCAGTGAGGGAGAGATAGTGCCGTGCTATACTGGAGCCTGGGGCAACAGAATCCAATACTGATTCTGTCTTCATTTAAAATTATAGTTGTTTTGTTCAACGTGAATTTTTGCATTAATATTTATGTTTTAAATATTGCTTTAAAGTATGACTTATCCTGACGGCTGGATTTTCTGGCGCCGCTTAAGTTTTGCTCTCAAGGCAAGGGTCCTCCTGGCCTCACCAAAGTCCTGCTCTCCTCCCACCCCGCAGGCTCTTCGCCAGCTACCCCCAGACCAAGACCTACTTCCCACACTTCGACCTGCACCCCGGCTCTGCGCACCTGCGCTCCCACGGCTCCAAGGTGGTGGCCGCAGTGGGCGACGCGGTCAAGCACATTGACGACATCGCCAGCGCCCTGTCCAAGCTGAGCGAGCTGCACGCCTACATTCTGCGCGTGGACCCTGTCAACTTCAAGGTGAGCGCGGGGGTGGGGTCCTGGCTGGTCAGGACAGAGGCTGGGTCGGAGTCGAGGAGGGAAAGGTCTCCAAGAAATGGGCTCCGTTCCCCCACCCGAAGAACCCCAGCCCCCCTCCAGCCGCGCGCTGAGCAGCCCTCCCGCCCCAGCTCCTGTCCCACTGCCTGCTGGTCACCGTGGCCTCGCACTTCCCCGCGGACTTCACGGCCGACGCCCACGCCGCCTGGGACAAGTTCCTGTCCCTTGTGTCCAGCGTCCTGACCGAGAAATACCGCTGAGCGCAGCCGAGGGACCCCAGAAGACAGGCTGCGACCCCTCCACTGCTCTATGGGGCCTCCCTCATCCCCCTCCTTCTGGGTGACCCGCCAATAAAGGGATAAACATACTCCTCGCCTCTGTGGTCACTGGGGCCCCTGAGCGGGGGAGGGCGGGAGAGGTGGGAGGGTGGACCTCAGGGTCGCCTGGAGGGCTGCAGGAATCATTTGCACTGACCCAGGGTCTCTCAGAGGGCAAAGGTCAGCACCCTAAGAATGAAGGGCACTTGAGATGCGGGCGGGTGGCAGAAAGGGCACCTCAGTACTTACTTCTGGGTCAGTACTGGAGCCCACCTGGCCCCCATGTCTCTCCCCCCCTGGGCCACTTGTTACCCTTTCTTCTTCCTCTGAATTTTTTACTATTTCCTCGCTTATGAACCAGGAAGAAAGGCGCAATGAGGTGTTCATTCATTCATTCACTCATTCATTCACCACCCTTTCATTCGCTAGCCCATTGCTTCTTCCATCAACAAACATTTATTGGCATCAAAGACGCCCAAGCATTTTTCTAGACCAGCAATTTTCAACAAGTGTGTGCAACAGTTTTCAACACATGCAGTGCCTATTTAGTCAGGGGCACTGACCTCTTTTCCCTTAGATTGTCAAATTAAAAAATGACAACAGCCAACGCAACAATAGCCATCCCGTGTGAATGAATCAAAATTATACCTTCTTTTTGTCAGATCAGCAAAATATATATTTTTTGGTGTGCTGCAGAATTTTAGTAATTAGTTTACGTGTGCCATGAGGCGAAAAGGTTGAAAATCATAGCTCTAGGCTATGAATACAGCAGCTAAAATCAGCAAAACTCCCTGCCCCGGGAGCTGACAATCTAATGGGGGATACAGACATGATATATAGTCAGATCACAATTCACTGAAATAAAAAAGGAAGAGATGCCCGGTCGGTGTGGCTCAGAGGTTGAGGGTTGACCTATGAACCAAGAGGTCACAGTTTGATACCCAGTCAGGGCACATGCCTGGGTTTGGGCTCAATTCCCAGTGTGGGGCATGCAGGAGGCAACCGATCAATTCTCTCTCATCATTGATGTTTCTATCTCTCTCTCCCTCTCCCTTCCTCTCTGAAATCAATAAAAATATATTTTAAAAAATAATCTATGGAAGGATAAACTAGAAATGATTACAAATGATTGCGCCAGTGGGAATGGAGAAGTAGGATTGGGAGGGGGGAGGTCCTACATAGTTTTAATATTTGAATCATGTAAATATTTTACACCATCAACAATGTAATTAAAAAGAGCAAAAAATGAGAACACCAAAATTGAAAACCAACTTAAATGAACCTCTGTAAGAATATAGTAATATAATCATCAGAGGAATTATTACAAATGACTTCTCAACACAGTACCTTGGCTGTGACCAAAAGAACAGCAAAAAAAAAAAAATCCTAACATTCACTCAGTAGTTTATTGGTCATAATAACACAGATATTGTAATTTCATAAACTTTTATTTGAAATATTTTCAAAATATCAAAAAAAAACCTGCAAGAATAAGGCAAAGATGGAGAAATGGTGACTGCTGGTTGTTACAGGGTTTTTTGAGGGGTGATGAAAATATTCTAAACTTGATTGTATTGCCCTGACTGGTTTGGCTCAGTGGATAGAGCGGCAGCCTGCAGACTGAAGGGTCCCAGGTTCGATTCCAGTCAAGGGCATGTACCTTGGTTGCGGGCACATCCCCAGTGGGGGGTGTGCAGGAGGCAGCTGATCGATGTTTCTCTCTCTTTGATGTTTCTAACTCTCTATCCCTCTCCCTTCCTCTCTGTAAAAAATCAATAAAATATATTTTTAAAAAATAAAATATAATTGATTGTATTGATGGTTGGACATACTGCGAATATATTAAACCCATTGAATTGTATGCTTTAAGTGGGTGAATTGTATGGTATGTGAATTATTTCTCAATACATTTGTAAAATAAAATAAGACAAAACATTCCCAAACACTCTTCATTGAGATTCCTGATTTTAACATTTGCCTTCACTGTGTCTCTCTTTCGGAGCCATTTGAGTGTAGGATGCAGACATGATTTCTCTTTAATACCCTTAAATATCTCGTGTATTTCCTAAAGCCAACAAGATCACTTGCCTGCATAGCCTGAAAACCACCACCAAAATCAGGAGATTACACTGAGCCAAACCCATCACTGCACAGATCCCGTGCACATGTCCTTCCCAGTCGCATCCGTTACCTACCCAGGATCACACTTTGCATTCAGTCTTTCCTTGAATGACTTTAATAGTTTGAAGAGTACATGCCACTTAGCTTGTAGAATGTCCCTCTGTTTGAGTTTTCCTGCGGTGTCCTCGTGAAGAGATTTAGGTGATGCGTTTTGGGCAGGAACATCACAGAAGTGACACTGTGTCCATGTCAATGCTTCCCATCGGGCACATGCTGTTGGCTGGTCTCTTTACTGGTCATATTCACTTTGACCAGTTGAAATGGTGTCTGCCAGGTTTCTCCACTGCAGAGTTAATTAATAAGTGTTTTATGCTTTTTCATTGATAAATAATACATTTTTACAGGTGAAGCTTTGAGACTGTGTATACATCCTATTCTTTTTATTGAATTTATTGGGGTAACATTGGTTAATAAAATTATATAGGTTTCAGGAGTACAATTCTATAAAACATCATCTTATATTGTATTTTGTGTTCACCACATGTCCAATAAAGGACAAGTCCAGTATCCTTTCATCACCACTTATTCCCCTTATACCCTCCTCCACCTCCCTTCACCCCCTTTTCCCTCTGGTAATCACCATACTGTTGTTGTCTGTGCCTATGAGTTTCGTTTTTTGGTTTTGTTTTTTCTTAATTCCTTCACCTTTTTCACTCAGCCCTCTGACAGCTGTCAGTCTGTTCTCTATGAATCTGTTTCTATTTTGTGTGTTATTTTATTTTGTTCATTAGATTCCACATATGAGTGAAATCATATGGTATGTAACTTTCTCTGACTGGATTATTTCACTAAGCATAATGCTCTCCAGGTCCATCTATACTGCCGCAAAGGGTAAGAGTTCCTTCTTTTTATGGCTGAGTAATTTTCCACTGTGTAAATGTACCACAGCTTTTTTATCCACTCATCTACTGATGGGCGCTTGGGCTGCTTCCAAATCTTGGCTGTTGTAAATAACGCTGCAATAGGGATGCATATATCCTTTTGCATTAGTGTTCCAGGTTTCTTCGGATACCATCTGTTCTTTATATAATTTCACCCACTGGTCTTAGCATCCATGAATGGTTCTTGCCTACATCAATTGCTACCATGATGGTTGCCCAGTGCAATTCTCCATCATCTTTTCTATACTTATTAGTAGGCATTCTACTGAAAGGAAAAACTTTTCCTTCTCCATTTTTAATTTATATCATATTAACTCAGTTCCCATTTTATTCAGCGGGTTATAATCTATTACCAATCATTCTTTATTTTTGTCCTAAAACTGTCCCAGATTTGGACAGTTGGAGTCCCTTCAAACGGGCTACTCTGTGTCCTTTGACATATCCCCATCATCCTTGAGTACATTCTTAGTTTCTTCTACAAGAAGTTCTAGTCCCGCCCTGATCGGCTTGGCTCAGTGGATAGAGCATCGGCCTGCGGACTGAGGGGTCCCAGGTTCGATTCCAGTCAAGGGCATGTACCTTGGTTGTGGGCACATCCCCAGTGGGAGGTGTGCAGGAGGCAGCTGATCGATGTTTCTCTCTCATGGTTGTTTCTGACTCTCTATCCCTCTCCCTTCCTCTCTGTAAAAAATCAATAAAATATTTTTAAAAAAAAGAAGTTCTAGTCCCCTCTTGTACTTTCCCTGCACCCGCCTGAAATTAGCCATTTCTCCACATAGTTCTGTTTCCTCCTAGTGGAGAATGATGTTTGCAAAGCAAGAGCTGGGAGCGGGGTGTGTTCATTGCTATCGGAATGTTATTCCTGCGAGTCGTCTCAGTGGACAGAACTAAGAGATATATTTTTATACACACATACACATAAGTAAATATACACACATGTATCTATTCTGTATATGCTAAGTATATTAGAAACCATGACCTCATACCAGTATCTCTAATTACAGTCCAATATCACATGGCTTGTCCTTGTCTTCTCCCTTTCCGTGTTCATGCCTCCCTTCTGCCATAGTGAGAAACCTGGCTCCCATTGTTCTCAAAACACCTCCCTATTTGCTCAGTTCCCTCGCATATTACCAACATCCCAATGGAGCCAACTTTGATTTCATCATTTTGAAACTAAGCTATCTAAGAGATGCAAATATAAAACCCATGAAAAAGCATATGATTTAAAACGTCTTTAATTAAAAAAACATATCATATCATTGCAAACAAATGTTTTGAAGGTCAGTGAAGACAGGGGACAGTGCGGAGGGGTCAGTGAGTTCAGAGGTTGTCTGGGGAGGGTCAGTGAGTTGGGGAAGATGAATTGCACAGACATCTGACCCTGGCTCACTGGGGCCTGCGCAGGACAGGCACCTGGAGGAGCATGAAGTGTCTTCTGAGGCCTGACATGCCTCTGGGGCAGTCAGGTTGCGACCAGCACTGATATTGGGGTCTCTGACCCTGAGGAAACCGTGGTCAGAGGAGGTTTCTCTGAAGAGCCTTCCGGGGTGCTGCTGGAGAGAGCATTATTTCTGGCAGAAGGTGAAGCGGGAAGCCTGGCAAGGGACGGAAGGAGGCCCCTCTGGTCACAGGAGGTGAAAGGGGCTGGATGCCAGGGCAGGGGGAGTGGAAGGGCTGGCAGTGCAGACCCAGCTGGAAGCTAGGAGACCAGGCAGGAGCTGCTGTGGTGGGATCAGGCAAGGTGGGGTAGTGGGAGGGTATGCGGGGCCTCCAGCTAAGGAGGGTGGAGCTTGGGTAGGAGACTTCAGGCTGGGGGAGAAGTGGGACCTGCCACGCTTGCAAGGCCTGTGGCAGGGTGAAACTTGGATTCTTCCAGCTCAGAGAAGAGGGGAGGGATGGTGGAGAGGTGGCAGCCCCTCTTCCTGAGCTCACGTCCCACCCCCCATCCGCAGGCTCTTCGCCAGCTACCCCCAGACCAAGACCTACTTCCCACACTTCGACCTGCACCCCGGCTCTGCGCACCTGCGCTCCCACGGCTCCAAGGTGGTGGCCGCAGTGGGCGACGCGGTCAAGCACATTGACGACATCGCCAGCGCCCTGTCCAAGCTGAGCGAGCTGCACGCCTACATTCTGCGCGTGGACCCTGTCAACTTCAAGGTGAGCGCGGGGGTGGGGTCCTGGCTGGTCAGGACAGAGGCTGGGTCGGAGTGGAGGAGGGAAAGGTCTCCAAGAAACGGGCTCCGTTCCCCCACCCGAAGAACCCCCAGCCCCCCTCCAGCCGCGCGCTGAGCAGCCCTCCCGCCCCAGCTCCTGTCCCACTGCCTGCTGGTCACCGTGGCCTCGCACTTCCCCGCGGACTTCACGGCCGACGCCCACGCCGCCTGGGACAAGTTCCTGTCCCTTGTGTCCAGCGTCCTGACCGAGAAATACCGCTGAGCGCAGCCGAGGGACCCCAGAAGACAGGCTGCGACCTCTGCTTGACCTCTGAGCCCGCCCACTGCTCCTCCCCTAATTCCCCCCAAAACGGCTGAGGATGGAATGGGCCGGTCCTGCGTCCTCAGTGCAGGGGGGAGGAGGAAACAAAGTGAGGGTAGTTCACTCCGGGGCTGGCGGCCACTCTCCGCGCGTTTGGGGGCGGCCCCTGAGCCTACGGGCCCCCGGGGAGCAGGCGGGAGAGAGCCCCGCTGTTTGCTCTGGTCTTTACCAATCGCCCAAAGATGAGGCTTCCCTCCGCCGGCGTGTGGGTTGTGTGGGAGGACTCCGGGGACTTTTCTTCAAAACCTGTCCTACCTCCCGCGCTGCCTGCCGGCACCCCTGATGCGGCTCCCTTCCTGGCCCCTCGGGGAAAAGGGGGTTCCCTGCCCCGCGCTCTTTCTCCTAATCCCTCCGCGGACTCCCTTCTGGCGCTCGCAGCTCCTAAT